CGGTAGGCTCTTCATGCGAAAGCGCATCCCAAAGCTGTTGGACTAGCTCCTGAGAAGAGAGAAATGGCTGGTGAGTGACCGGATAGAGGTGATAGAGGCCGTTCCTTCGTCCAAGTCCTCACTCACTGTCATTACCTCACCTTGTCATCTACTTTTCATTCAAAACTTCTAAGCTTTTAATTGTAAACGAAAAGATAATGAAAATTGTACACCAAAAGCTAATAAGAAATCAATTAAAAATGGTGATGTGGGACATGAAAATAATAGCCTTTACAAATAACCAAATGAAAATAAAGAATTCTAAAGAAGAAGTAAAGAGAAATAGAAAAGTGTCTTTATGGAAAGGCTGAGGAACGTTATCACAAAGAATTCAGACAAAGCTGAACCACTATAAGCACATAAGTATTGATGGACAGCAGATGAACTGGCTGTGGCCATGAGCATTGAGAGGTAGAAGATAGCATCTTTTTGTACAAGGGTGAGCTCGAAGATGAGGGCGCCAAAGACTGTGAGGAAGGGTGCTGCCCACGTTCGAAAGAAAGAAATAATCGGCCTCGCTTTCTGCCAGTCCTTGGTGGGTTTGGGAAGGATTCGCGCTGTGGGCAACAGTGCCTGAAGACGAAGCCCCCAAGCATATCGTTGCAGTAGTAGAGAGGGTAACGTAGTGACCACTTCAGAGCGGAAAGACGCTGCCGACTCCCGGCACAGCGAAAAGACCTCACCAGTGCAAAAGGTCTTGTGCATCAACGCGGCAAAGAGTGAAGGACAGATCACATGAGCACGAGAAGGAAAATGATCCGCAGGTATTACAACCCACGAAGACAATGCACCGATAGTGCGTTGGAGTGATTTTGAAGTCCAGTGTGCGTGGTCACGAACGTTAGTGCGGTGAGAATCAATCAGCTCCGTCAGCTCAGGTTGGGAATCAGTGAGGAAACTGGTGCGATGTATCTGCCAGCGACGAGCCAGCTTACGAAGCTGCATTGCAAAACGCTGTTGAAGCTTGTCGATGTCACCAAAATACTGATCCTTCATGGATGCGGTCATGATGTCCATGTCAATATCTGCATTGACGCGCGTGAACTCATCAATGATCACGGCATGATCGTGCGCGCGACGCACGCTGCAGTCATCAAGGTCTGAGCAGCGGCACGGAAAAGACGTGTCAGGAGTCCACTTGCGTTGCCACCCGCGGTAGTTGTAGATCCTGTCACCCAAGGTGGCACTGCGAGTTTCGACAACACGGATCTTTGGAAGGAATAGAGAAGGAAACTGATCACGATGTGAAGCAACCCAACGCTGCAGCCATGATCCAAGATGAGCTTTCCAATTCTGAGCGTGTAGAGGTGGAAGAAGCAGCTGTGTCATAGTGCTTGGCAACTGGAGTTGTCGTTTGTGCAGGACTTTGTGGATGAGCTTCTGTGCCTTGGAACGAAACGGCTCGTTGACGACGACGGAGAGACGCAGGAAGTAGTAGAGCTGGGTTGGTGGGAAAGCCGCCGATAACAGATCGCGCATAGCTTGAAACGACGCGCCTGTATTGGATCCCAGTTGATAAAGCACGGAGTAGTGTGATTGGATGTCGTCCAGCATCTCGGGTCGTAATTGCCGATGAAGATCAGGGTGTAGTCGTCGCCGAAAGCGTTTATGCAGCGAGAGAGAGGTAGGCGAAGACAACGAATGACGCCGAAAGTCAACCAGGTGTTCCCGGAAACCAATTTTCCGAAGAAGTCTGTGCACCCAGGGAGCGTTGAGATGTGGACGCAGCAGATATTGCCACTTGCTTTCCTGAACCCAAACCGAAGAAAGTGGTAATTTAATCTCAACCGGAATGGCACAGAAGAGCCAGTAGGTGTTGGAACGCTTCCAATAGTGAAGTGCACGCTCAAAGAAAGCATGATGTCCCCGTAGCAGTTGGAGGAATTTGCGGCTGCGTGAATGTTCTCGACGGAGAACATCCTGATCTGTTGCTCCAATGTAATATGGACTATGCCATGGGGAGAGCCTGATGTAGACACACGGTTGTTGATAGTGACCAGGATCTTGAATGAAGTCAAAGAGGTCCGGGAAGCGAGTCTGCAAGGAACGAAGGTGCCTCATATCCGCAAAAGTAGAGTGCATGATTTCACACCGCAGTGACGTCTTGTAGAAATGAAGAACCTCAAAGAACTGCGGAATGTACCCTTGATTCTGACATATAAGACGCTGCACACAGCAAATCAACAAATAAGCAGCATTCCGACATCTGTGAAGCTCATACCTGTTGGCCACAGTGTGGGAGGAACGCGACATGGTACATGTTGGAATCTGAAGTGCAATTCGAACTACGGTGAGTACTTCAAGGACAAGGTCCAACTGAGGCAAATGCTGAATTGACTCGTACTCATGCATTGGAATCGACGGTGGTGGTTGTCCCGGAAAGCAATACTGCCAGCACGTGGAGAACACCGTCAGCGAATGCAGACAAGTATCCAGGGACTGCCACTGTGCAACATCACTGAAGATTCCACTGTGGCGAAGTTCACTCCACATGATGAATATGAAACCCAACAAAGCTACAAGGTGGCGGCGACATGCATGCAAGAGAATGAGCCCCATGAAACACTCCAGGCAAGACAAAAGGCAAGTCACAAGGCAAGTATGGTCAAGCAAGCAACCTATCAAACAAGCAATGCACAAGGAGAGGACGGGCAAGCTTTGAACCATTCGTCATCCATGACGCAGCGTGCCACTCCGGGCTGATATGCAAGCAATGGGAACCATTCACCCGGTGATCAAGCGGGCGGTCACGATAAGGTGACACAGCGCTTTGTCCGCAAGCTTGGTGATGTAGCCAGGTTCCAGCCCCCACAGAGCGGCCATAGCTGCAAACGTAGGTGCATCTCCTTTTGGCATGCGTTGACGTGCTTGAAAGAGCTGGGCTGCCATAGGCTCCAAGGACTTGTTGCCGTTGAGACGGGATGGGTGATTGGCCCACTTGATCAATGACGCAACCGTGATGGTGGTAGGTGATTGCTTGAGATAAAAGCGCGGTTGATCACTTGTCCATGTGTAGTGCTTGATGATGTCCTCAGGCGTGCTGTGCATGGTGAGCTGCTGCGCCGCCGCTGGCTTGGAGTTGGGGGAAGAAAGTGCGTGAAGAGATTGGATGATCCGAGGTTGTGGTTGGACGGCAACATCAAAGGACTTTCCGTCGAGGGCCGCCGCACTGACCGTAGGCAGGGAACTGGTCGGAGTCGACGGGTGTGCGTGGCTGGTCGGGGGTGGTGTGACCAATTCCGCATCATCTTTGTGAGCAGGTAGCGTAGGAGAAGACGAAGCACGCTGGGATGCCGAATACTGAGCCTGAAGCAACTCATGAGCACGATTGAGATCATTGAACTTCTTGATCATGTCTTTGTCCTGGGTCGACGGCGTGAGAGTCGCATGATGTTGCTGAAGAAACTGGAGCACCAAATTGGCCAGGTGGTCATGTACCTTGATGCGTTGATTGAAGTCGTCTAGGTTGAGCCCCAGCGAATTGGCAAGGTCCTTTGCCAAAGTGAGCAGGTTGAGCGGCTGAGAACGTCTCAGGAGTTTGGAACAGGTGCTCCAAAGTAGGGCCTCGGTGCGAGTGCGAAAACCTTCCCACGTCACGAATCTCCCATGAGCAAGGGGACGTAGTAGCCAATTGGTGAGGCCACCATGTATGACTTGGACGAGACGCACATCCCGGATGTCCATGCCAGACATGTCTCATAGATTATTGTGCGGGGTGTTGGCAACCGTCGTGGGCAGGCTGAAGTTGTAAAGCTGGTTAATGTCAAGCATGCCATCACCAGGTTTCCAATCATCCGATGGTGCAAGCCACGCTTTTTGAGGTCGAACTGGAGGCGCTGTTGGGTACGCAGGTGCTGACGTAGCTGGGGTGGTAGTAACCGGTGGTGTCATCACGGGCGTGACAAACTTAGCTGGTGTGGGCTCCGGAGGGAACGGCATCATGTAGTTGGCCGAAGGGTAGAGAAATTGCTGCGAAGAGGAAGGATGCGGCTGGTAGTTGCCTGACGGTGTCGGAAATGCACTGGAAGTGTTGTATCCCGAATTGTGTTGCCAGGAGACTAAGTTGTTCCAATCCATGCCGTCCGAGACCGGGGTGTCATTGTGTTCACAGATCAACGATCACTGAAGTCCAAGCACATGCATGTTTATGAATCAAAGCTCCACTCCGTGCAGTACGTCAAGTGCAGCACACAACTCAATAACTCAAGCCCATGTACAAGCCGACATGCTCCTGTGAAAGAAACCAGCAGCAGCAACCGGGGTTGTGAAACGACACTATGAAGAGGTGGCTGTCTTCCCTTTAGTGAAACCTCGTTCCTGGTTAAACGTGAAATTCCGCTGTTCTATGATACGCACGTTGAGGTCAATTTTCCGGCGTACCGGCCCGGGGTCACACAATGGGCACACCCGAGGGTCCCCCACGAATGGGGTGATCACACTTAAACTCCAGAAGGAGGATTCTAACCTTTCGAGTACAACCAGTAAGTTTCGGCTTCGATGCTATTCTTCATGCATAAGTTTCGGCTTGCACGTCACTTGGCTTTCCGGTAGAATCGAAAACGCTACAAAAGCAACAAGAAGCACACACAGCGAACAACGGGCCAAAAAGACTTTGAATCACACGAGCTACGCAGGTACGCGGAGTTGATCAAACTCCGTATCAGCCGTGGCATAGCCCTCTTCGTTGGGCAACCAGCTATGCGCACGGGATTGCCCCCCTGCGGAAATAACAAGAGATGGTGACAGGGTATTCTGCCACTCCGCACACACACAAACACCTGCCTGTGCGCGCGGACATGTACTCAGTATGCGTATGCATATATATGCAGATAGCTAGATAGATGAATAGATAGACAGAGAGATACATATACATAGACAGACATGTGTCTACAACGACAGACACATCAATCGCATCAATACATAAGGTTCAGATCAAAAGGTTCTATCTGTTCCCCTTCCGCCTCCCCACGCTGCTCCAGTAAGGAACGCAGCCGCCGCTTGAGTTCGCGGTTGACAGCTTTGTAGTACTGGTTGTCACCTTGGAACTCTGCCAGCACGGGTGTCGATGTGTCGAATGCATCATGCCAACTTCACGCGCTGCATAGGGTCCACCTGCGGCATCCCATGACTTGCCTAGGCCCTTGCGCTTGACCTGCTCCACCTGCGGCAACCCGAGATTGCACGACAATGTTTCGCTGAAGGTTGATGCCAGCCACAGCTTGCTTGCTGAAACAATCTGTCACTGAGCTGAATGGTCTGAGAATAGCCAATATGTCAGCTTTTCATGCGAAGATGGAAGGTTTCTCGTACCTTGAGAAGGTAGCTATGGCAGTTGTTTGGTCTAGTGAAACATGAATGCAAAAAGTGTTCCATGTGTCTTGGAAAGCCCTCTTGGAGAGCAAGACCGGCTTTGCTGGCTAATCAGGTCATGAATGCCGGTGAGCCGAGCGTACCCGGCGAGGTCGGACCTGCTGATGCATGACTGCGAACTTTCCTAACCTTCATGAGGTCCCTGGTGTGCGGCGAGTGGGAAAGAACAAGGTCCACTTTGGTGCTGAGTTTCTGAATCGCTTTGTCCAGCTGGTGGAGGTCGAAGCTCCGTGCCTGCCCCTTTATTTTCATGATGCCTGCCTCAAACTCCTGCAGGGAGATTTCTCCATCTCCATCATCCAGCATCCGGAAGAGGCCCATCAGGTCAGTGGTCTCAATCTCAAGCTGGGATAGGCAGACCTGAAGCTTGGGAGACAGGAGGAGCCGATTAAATTCCGCAACGTCGAGGTAGCCATCGCCCGAAGTGTCGACGCGCCGGAAGAGTTGAGCCACTTTCTGCCTGTAGACCTCTTGGGATCGAAGTCTTTCTCGCGCAACGAATTCGTCATCTGCTTGCGCGACCTTCATAGTGCTCTGAACAAAAACCGCGTTCACGACCTCAGCATGAACACTTCACACCGGCTTGGCAAAGCCGACTCTGCCATCATGAAAGCTTTCACACTGACACTGAGTTGTGCTCATATAGCGCGGAACCGAAAAATGCTGGCCAGCAATCACGTGCGCGTCTCTGTCAAAAGCCGCTGCCTGTTTGCGCGCGCGTGACTGGATGCGTGCGTTCGCATGCGTTCAGACAGGCAGACAGGCAGACAGGCAGACAGGCAGACAGGCAGACAGGCAGACAGGCAGACAGGCAGACAGGCAGACAGGCAGACAGGCAGACAGGCAGACAGGCAGACAGGCAGACAGGCAAAGGCAGGCAACATCCCTTGCAGCAGCTTGCCTGCTGGAGTTCAGGCCAGGGAGACGGCTCCGCAAGGGTCACGGCCACCCACAGCAACAAGCAAACAACAACAGCAAGAGCAACGACTGCAACAACAGCCACGCCTTGCAAACTGGCAGACACGAGCGCAAACCTGATCCCACCTGCGTCACCAGAGTCAACAAGCCAAAACAACAATGCAAAAAGCTCGGGGCAAGCACGCCAAGCTGTGTGAACACTTCACGCTCCAACATGCGCCCTGAGTGAAGGAGAGTGAGATACCCTGCTTGAAAGCAGGGGCCTGGATGTATCCTAAAAGGGCACACCTAGAAGTACATCAAAGGCGAGCACGCAAACAAAACCAGGAGAAAGAAGGGGTGGGTTGGTCTGCCTCTGGCGCACCAAAACATGCGCCCCGAGCTTTTTGAAACACGATGTTCCTCGAAAACAGAACGGTGGCTAAATGAAATGCAGCTACTTCCAAATTGAGGCGTACCTCCAATTTTTTGATCATTCGACATCATGCGTTCCTGCGAGAATGCCGAGTGTTGAAGGATTGCCTGAGTTTGCATTCCCAGAGGTGCCGCTACCATGGCTTGATACACGCGTACAAGCCAAACTGTGAAAGCAGCGTACTGGCAAAATGCAAATGCGACAAGAGCGGCGCTTCCCTGCACCTTTGCCGCACTAAGCCGGCGGCATTTAGCACTGCAAACCCCACAAAACACCGATAGACAATGAACACCATGGCGTAGATCTCGCTCACGTTGTCGATCAACACCCTGCATGGCGGAGCCCAGTTTGCAAACAGCACTTCAAACATCGTGAGAAGCGTCTTGCTGAAGGTGCCATAGTACCGGAAAACTGCGAAGCGGGCTTCAGCATCATTGCCAGGGTCCACCATGAAATCACTCACCATGTACGAGATCGTCATGCCAGCACTGCATTGGATAATCATAAGCAGGACCAAGGACCAAAACAAAATCCGCAGGCTAGCATGAATGCACTTGAGGAGAAGCTGCAGTGACTCCAGCACGCGTGACATCTTCACCACGCGCAGGGCCCGCAGCAGCTTCCCCAGGCGCAGCATTCGCAGAAAGGTAGGGCTGATAGGCAAAGCTGCGGCAAAAAGCTCTGCCCAAGAGCTGCCTACCACCAAAATATCTATCCAGTTCAGCCAGTGGCGGAAGTACTCGCAGCGCACATAGCCAAGCCGGACGAGCATCTCTATTGTGAACACAAGTGCAAAGGCAATGTCCCCGCCCACAAAGACGCCTTCAACGTTTGGCCATGCGTCTTGCGCTGGCAGATCATACCGGGGATAGCCCATCTCAAAGCCGACTTTCAGGCCATGATACTGCAGCTGCGCTGCCATAAGCAGCATGTTCACAACGAGAAGCACCGCAATGCCAAACTCAAACTGATTACTAAGGAATACCGAGCTCCAGCGTTGATAAAACGCTCGCTGGGCCTGCAGGGGCAAGGCAAACTGTCACGGCTTATACTGGCTTATATTGGAAATACATTGAGATGACAACATTTCAGGCATGGTGAGAATGTGCGGATTTGCCCCCTTCCTCCACTGCCGGGTTTGACACACTGACGCTGACATCTGCTGTCCCCCAGTCATCCTCATTTTGGTCAGCAGAAAGGCTCTTTTTCAGTCTTTGAGCCAGGCCAGCCGCGCTGCTCACCAAGATTGTGGGCTTGCCCTCCGTGTGTTCTGGAATGCCCTCCAGCGTGTCCGGCTTGCCCTCCGACGGCTCAAAGGTCTGCTCTGGTTCAAGATTGGACTCGTTGCTCGGTTTGCTCGCGAAGCTGCAGTCCTCTCGCAAGAGACCGCCATCGCCACGAGAGTCCCCCCTCTCGATCGCCAGCACCGGCGGAGACATCCGAGGAAACGGCCTCAATCCAGGCGCCAGCTCTGCGACTTCGGCACGAAGCTTGGCAACCTCCTGAACGCCGGAGCAAAGCCAGCCAGAAATCTCATTTCGGGCTAGACGAGTGCAGGCAACCATAAGAGTGAGTTCACAGCCGGACATAGCCTGTGAAGTGAACAACAAAATGAGATGCATAAATCCCCTTCGTGCCAAAGGGCCCAGCCGTGTGGTCCCACACAGCCGGTCAATGTGCAGTGGTGCAAGCAAGAACTATCCCTTCACTTGCCTTGCTCATGCACAAATCAAGCGAGACATGCCTCCAAACCTTCAGTGGATACGTTCATGCTGTGACCAGCGGTAAAAACAGAATCCGCTGACGCGAGTCAAGCTTGAGGGAAGGATTCTTTCTCCAGGTTTTCCTCCGGAATTCCTTTCTACAGCAGGCTTTCGAGGCCATCAATTTTGGCAGAATTGCGCCAAAACGTTCGAAACTGCAAATGCGTGGCGTCTCTGCACTTCCCATGATTGAGTATCAGTCGGCTTGCTCGAAAACAACCCCTAGCATACTCATTCTGCTCATGCCATTTCGGAGGGTGAAAGAAGCCATGGTGTAAGACTTAGTGAGACTCGTGTGTCTCGTGCAGGATCTTAAGCAGGAGCCAAAAAGAAACACCAAATGCATGCCTGCAGTTCACATTCAGTATGCGACCTTTCGAACCCCCCACCACCATTCCTGGCTGTGTTTGGCTGTGTTGGAGCGTCTTTCGCTGGGAAGATTTCCCTACAATGTTACAAGATCCGAGCGCGGACCCTCAATCAAACCGCAACTTTGTGGAATTCCGTGAGTCTCACAAACTCTGCAAATGAAGCGATTCCGGTACCGCAGGCAAGCGCGACAACAGGCTAGGAGTAAGTTGCAAGTTAGTTCAAGGGGCAACGCAGCAACAAGACGCACTCCGGACAGGACTTAGAGTGTCTGCCTGTATCTTGGCATCCCCTCTTTAGAAAGCCTTGGGTGAGCGTCCATCCGGCACACCCACAAACACCGTGCAACTTTGCAACACTGGCGACTTCCATTGGTCTAGGCTAGTGCTGGGAGCCAGGGCAAACAGCGGCTCTTCCTCACTACTCCTTATTTTCATGCACTCGTGAAAGGAGGCTGTGAGTGTAGAGGCTTCGTGGCTCTCCTCATCGTGCGCCTCAGCCAGCTCCTTCAGGAGCTTGCTGAAGCGTGAGAGCGATTCGAGTTCTTCGGAGCCCATCGCGCAGCACGGCGAAACAAAAAAACATAGACTTCTTGAGCCCAAGCCTGCCAGCCAGCAAGGGAAAGCGGGTCCGAGAGCTAGCGAGAAATCACTGCACTGCAAGTCACCACGCATATGGACAGGGCCAAGGAAGCACAAACATGCAAGCATACATGCATACATAGATGCATGTAAGCAAGAAAACAGGCAGGAGGCAATCAAGCATGCAGGAAAGCAGGGGCAAGTAAGCAGGCAGCAAGCGAACAAGCAAACAAGCAAAAGCAAACAAGCAAGCAAACAGGCAGGAAAGCGAGCAGTCAAGCAATGCTAAAGTCAAGCAAGCAAGCAACGCAGCAGGCAAGCAAGCAGGCAAGCAAAAAGGCAAGCAGTGCAGGCAAGCATAAAAAAGCAAGCAAGCAAGGAACAAGCAAGCGATGAGCAAGCCAGCCAGCCAGCCAGCCAGCCAGCCAGCCAGCAAGCAAGCAAGCAAGCAAGCAAGCAGGCAAGTATGAAGCAAGCAAACAGGGCCCTCTGGAGAGTCTTGCTGCCTCCTCTGCATCCCCGGAGGACAGAACGCTTGGCTCTTCTGACCTTGACTCTGCGCCCTGCTGCGCCTTGGCTGACGCTGGTCTGCTGTTGGGTTGCAGGATGCAGGGCAAGCACAATGCTGAGATGAGGGTTTCCCCACAAAAACCACTGCCATTGAAGGTTTGCGGCGACTGGTAGCTGAAAGCCATTCCACGGTGCAGCCTATGCTCTATGCTGCAGTGGGTCACACAATTCTAGCCCAGGCTGAGCCAAGCTCAAGCCAAAACTGCCTTACAAAATGAACAACACCGTCACATGTCTCAGCACCCCGGCACCCCCTCTTGCGCTCCCCTCTTGCGGCAAAGATGCCGAAAGCTGGCCTTGCAGCTCAAGTTGCACATGGTGCTGCAAATCTATCTTTTCGTTGCTGTCGCATCAGCACGCCAATTGCACGACTCTCTGCTTGCGACAACTAGCGGCGCAACAGCTGTCTTATCCTTGCTTCGTACTCCTTGGTCACCCTGGCAATGGCCTTCAAGCGCAATGATTTGCGACACCACCCCAGCCAAGTTTCACTCACAATCCTCAAATGCTCGGGTATCCCTGAGGCTCTAAAGGGGCATAGTTAGCGTGCGTGCGTGCGTGCGTGCGTGCGTGCGTGCGTGCGTGCGTGCGTGCGTGCGTGCGTGCGTGCGTGCGTGCGTGCGTGCGTGCGTGCGTGCGTGCGTGCGTGCGTGCGTGCGTGCGTGCGTGCGTGCGTGCGT